ACCCCCAGCGCACCCCCTCTGGTGTCGAGGAAGTGCCACGCCTGCCACGCTTTGCGAGCCCGAAACGCATAGGGCCCCCACCCCCAGCGCACCCCCTCTGGTGTCGAGGAAGTGCCACGCCTGCCACGCTTTGCGAGCCCGAAACGCATAGGGCCCCCACCCCCAGCGCACCCCCTCTGGTGTCGAGGAAGTGCCACGCCTGCCACGCTTTACGAGCCCGAAACGCATAGGGCCCCCACCCCCGGGTCACCCCCTCTGGTGTCGAGGAAGCCACGCCTGCCACGCATTGCGAGCCCGAAACGGATAGGGCCCCCACCCCCAGCGCACCCCCTCTGGTGTCGAGGAAGTGCCACGCCTGCTATGCCTGGACGACCGTCGTGCATAGCGGCCATATCGGGACGTGTCTCATGTGGGTGCCCACTATGTGGCGCACACGTCGTGGATGTGTGATGCAGTGCGCACTAGCGTTGTATGGTGTGTGTTGTGTGCGAATGTGTGCATGCGTGCGGCTGTATGTAGACGCGTGTGTCATGTACTTGCCGTGCATGTGTTGTGCGCGGGTGAGGAGAGGAAGAAGAGGGAGGAGGGGAGGTGTGAGGAGACGCGGGTGCGCCGCGGCAGGGAAGAAAACCAGAACCCCACAAAACATGTGGGGAATAACTTCTTGTTTGGGGCCCACGCTAGCTAGCATTCCGTTCGCCCGAACATTTCAAAGCAGATCTACGCAACGCAGTGCAAATCATTGAATGACATGCCTTGGCGGTGCTTGGCATTGATTGGCAATGTTTGGATGTGATTGGCGTTGCTTGGCATTGATTGGCAGAACATGGCGTTGCTGGGCAATGCGTTGCATTGCTCTGCATGGTACGGCATCGTTTGGCATTGCTTTGCGTTGATTGGCGTTGTTGGACGTTGCGTGGCGCTGCTTCGTGTTGCGTGTCATTGCTTGGCATTGCTTGACATTGCTTGGAATCGCTGTTTGGTGTTGCTTGGCATTATTTGGATCTGTTTTACATTGATTGTGCGACACTGCTTGGCTCTGGGTGGCAATGATTGTCAGCATTGCTTAGAATTGCGTGGCATTGCTAAGCGAATTGCTAAGCATTGCTTGGCGTTGGTCGCCATTGCCTGAAATCGTTGCTCGCTGTTGCTGGAGATTGCTTTGCGTTGCTTCGATGTCCTGCGCATTGCGTGGCGCCGTGTGGCATTTGCCCAGCGCCACCCAGCAACGCATCCCATGACTGAGGAACCTGCGGAAGGACCGCAGAGCCCAAGACCGAGGTACCCCAGGAAAACCAAACGCCGCTTCTGAAATGGGGCCTCGCACCCACCGGCTGCTTTCATAAATCGGTAATTTCCCTCAGGGAAGCAAGCCGAATTAGGGGAGGGATGTTCTTCAACAGGGGCCATACTGGCGACATACAAACAGGCGAGGCACACCACATCGCCTGGCCACGCACCCGCGAGCTCTCTGGAAACCTGTGGGGATCCTTTGACGCCCACGGAAACAATCAGCAGGGGAAGCAAACGCCATGATGTTAGCCAGCGTGGGCCCCAAGTAATATGTTTTTCGCAATCTATGTGGCGCGGTCTATGTGGCGCACTCCGCCCTGCCGAACTTGAAATTGACAACTCTTCTGTAAGCGCAATCGCCCAAGCCGCCCACCCGCAACTTGGTGTGCAAAAGCCATGAGGCCGGTGCGATTGTGATGCCTGCGTGGCGCTGGCTGGCGGAAAGTTTGCGGGGGGGGTAGATCCTCATATATATATTTATATATATGGGAAAGGAGAATCTGACTGGTGCGATATCGACTATGCACACGTCAATCAATCTACGTGGTGCAGTCTATGCCATGAAAATTCATGTCTGCGCACAGTGGGATGTCCACTCCACTCCTCGCGCAAACATCCCACCCGCCCGCCCACAACTTTGTTCGCAAAACCCATGCGGAGGCGATTCAGATGGGTGATTGGTGTTGGCTGGTGCATCTTCGCGGCCGCGCTGACCCGCACATGCACGCGCGCGCAGCGGCCAGCTAATTTGGCGCGACCGACGCGACCGCGGTGGCGCTGACCGCTGGGCACATCCCAGCGGGCACTTCTGTGCGAGTTGGCGAGTTGGTCAAGCGCGGTATCATGGCAACGCCGGCCACTGTACACAAGATGATGATAGTAGCGATGCTGGTGCCAATCTTGACAGCGACGGCAACACGGCCAATGACGGCGCCGACGCTGACCTCGCCGGCGACGATGACGGCGTCCTCGCGGCAGTGATGAAGGATTTGGAAGGAATTCGGCATGCGCGCGCGGCCGACCCGCGAGAGTGGCCCGCATGTTATTTGACACGGCCCGTGCCCCCCCAGCACGCGCGTAATGGCGTTCGAGTGATGTCGGCATGCGGCGCGAGAGGCAGTTTGGCAGAATTCAACGAACAGGTTTAAAACCGATGGTTGTTATGTTGGGCAAAAAAATGCACGAGCGAGAGCGCAGGCTTTTTTGAAAACTGTTGTTGCGAAGCCATCTGTTTGTATCTGGTTCCGAGACACTCGGTTTTGAAACCCTTACGAAGCCGACGTTTGTTTGACGAATTTCGGCATGCGCGCGCGACGACGCGCCCGTGCGCACTGCGTCCCATTTTTTGCAAGGGGTTCTTGCGAGAACACGCGCGCAAAAAACGTTCGAACGAGATCGACATGCGCGCGCGAAGCCCGCTTGGTAGCATGTAATGAACAGGTTGAAAAGACTAAGAAAAAACAACAAAATAAATAACCCATGTTCCCACTAATTCGCAAGGACGCGCGCGCAAGGTTGGTTGGGAAATCCTTGTTGCGAGACAGTGTGTTTTAAATATTGTTTGGACACTCGACATTGACATCCTTACGCAACCGAAGGTTTTTGAAGGATTCCGGCACGCGCGCGCGCGACAACGTGTGCGTGCGCACTTCGTCCCGTTTTCTGCAAAGGAGTCTTGACAACTTATGATTTGTTGTAAACGAGCGCACGCGCATATCATGTTTGGCAGAGGACGAGTGGGGTCGATACCGTTTGGACTGAGATGGTACTAGTGCATAACTAGGATGGACGATGGGGCAGAATGAAATGTAAATTGCACTACGAAAAGGGGAGGCGGATAATCCCACGGGGGTAGAATCGAATGTCCTTTCTGCTCAGATAACTGAATCTATGCAGTGCCAATCTAAATTGTGCACTTAACCAATGACCACGAACAGGTTGTCAACTCCACTGCCCGCGCAATCTTCCCAACCACCCATCCGCACCTTGGTTGACAAGCCCCATGCGGCGGCAATTGTGATGCCTGCCTGGCGCTGGCTGGCGCATCACTGGGGCCGCGCTGGCGCGTGCAGGCTCGCGCGCTGAGCGGCCAGCTAGTCTGGCGCGATCGACGCGGTCGCGGTGGCGCTGATCGCTGGGGCGCTGATCGACGACGCCGCGCTTACGCGCGGGCACATCGGTGCGAGTCGGTGGCTCGGGCGGGCGCGGTATCGTGGCAACGCCGACCACGGCACACAAGATGATGATGCTAGCGATGGTGGCGACGATGATGCCGATGACGACGATGATGGTGTCCACGTGTCGGCCATGGAGGTTTGAGGAAGATTTCGGCACGCGCGCTCGGCCGACGCACGCGAGTGGCCCGCGCGGTGCTATTTGAAAGGGACCGTGCCCCGGGCCCCACCCCCCTGCACGCGCGCAGGGGCGCTATAATGATTCCGACATGCGCGCGCGAGAGGTCCTTTTGGCCGAAAGCGATGACACATTTGAAAACACACACGGTTTTCCTTCAGAATTCGCAAGAGCGCGTGCGCAGACATGCTCGAAAACCCATGTTGCAAAAAACATTGTTGTTTCACTCGTTGCGGGAAGCTCGATTTGGGAATCCTTTCGAACCCAAGAGCTTGTTCAAGGATTCCGGCATACGCGCGTGACGACGCGCACGTGTGGACCCTGTTGTGTTGCAATTGAGTCTTGGCAACTGGCGGTTTTTGATGAAATAAAGCTGCGCGCATAGTGGTATTAGCAAGGATAAAGGGGGGGGGTCGAACTCGGTTTCAACGAACCCAGATTCAAGTTGAACGGAGGGGCAGTCTCATATGTCAAATTCACATGCCCGGGGGGCACAGATAATCTGGGGTGGAGTAGATCCTAATACCTTTTCAGAAAGGAGGCTCGGACAAAGCAACGCAAAGAAGCATACAGCAATGAAAAGCAATGCAAAGCAACGCAATGCAAAACAACGCAAAGCAATCCATGTGGTGCAATCGGACGGCGGCGACAAGCGGCGACGGCAGCGACAGACCAGCGACGGCGACAGCATAGCTGCCAGACAGACAGACAGGCCCAGTTACGGGCGGCGACGGGGTGGCGACAGTGACAACATAGCTGCCAGACCGACAGACAGGCCCAGTTCCTCAAAGAGAAATAAGAACCCCATAGGTACAAACACTGTTTGGGCAATAACCTGTTAGCCAGACACATGTATGTATACTGTCATATGGAAAACAGATGTATACATATATGTGTACCTAACCATACGATTATGGTGTGGGATTCTTCCTGATCGCCATCATCTCTGTACCACTTTATGTGTCTCTATTGCCCTCCATTCGTCTCTTACTTGTCTACCTGAAACGTCTACAACTGCCAAGGCCTTCATGCGCACCCCATTCGCATCTGCAGATCCTGTGTCATTGGCTGTCATTCGACTAGATTCTGAAGGAGAATCGCTTAAACAAATGGTCCCCCAGTGGGAAATTCGATCTATGCGGGATCTGGGCGGAGGGGAGGGGAACAGGGGATTGCTCAGTTTTACAAGTTTTAGGCACTACCCCCAACACAGCACTGAGAACAAATAGCACGCAGGCGCACTTCGAGTACTCATCCAGGGATCAGGAGACATCAGATTAATGGGACAAGCAATCCGAGGAGCAATGAATGGGCGGAAATATCCGCGGGGCGACGTGTCTTTGTTCCCGTGCAGCCTACTGCTCGCCTCTATGGCCGACTCCGCCTTCGCCTTGGAATCTTCTGCGCTCGCCAGCTCCTGCAAGGGAAGCTCAAGTGCACACATCCATGTTGGTAACTTCCCCCTCGCTCCCATGCGAGGAATGAGAGTACGTTCAAAAAAAACGAGCGGGTAATTGAGACTCAGTCGGAGGGCGCGGCCACTACAACATAACACCGAGGACGACCCAGGAGGCCTCGAGCAAATGCAGTGCATGAAGCAACACAACATCATCATGTTGATCAGAGGCGTCCCAAACAGTAGGTTCTGGCACCCTCGATGTGCAATGTGGTGCAAGCTATGTGATGCGCTCTGTGCATGGTGCAAGCTAGGTGTTGCAAGTTATGCAGTAAAAGCTCTGTGGCACATGCTATACGACTGCAGCTCTATGATGCAATCTGCGCGGCACAGGGCAGCAGATCCTGCGTGATGCAAGCCAAGTGAAGCTACACGGTGCAACCTGTGTGATGCGACCGACGTGGTACGATGTGTGCGTGTGTGTGGTGAATGCTATGTGGTGGGTTCTATGCAACGCAAGCTACGTGGTGCAAGCAGTCTTGGGCAGTGCACGTGGTGCAGGAGGTGGGCCCTGTGGGCCCCCGCGAGGCGCCCGCCCACGCGGCGGGCACGAGTGCTCTCACGAGGCGGACGCACCCGGCAAACCGACCCGGCACGCGGGGCGCTCACGAGGCGATGGCGAGGGACGCCGGGCTCAACACAACCCCGGCAGGCCACGCAGCGCACGCGGTGCCCACAAGGCGCCCCAGGGGAGGCCAGCGCCCAACACACCAACCCCAACCGGGCACGTGGCGAAACGCTCGCCAACCCACCCACTACCCAGTCCTTTTTGTTGATTTTTTTTTGTTTTATTTTTGATTGTTTCTTGTTTTCGTGTTTTGCTTCTTTTGTTTTTGCTTCCACCCATCACCCATTACTTATGGAGAGAGGTGAAATGCTGTGCGGGCCGTGTCTGTTCTTGTCCATAGATGTGCGGGGACAGTTTTTCGGTGGCCCGCATGGGGAGAGCTCTGCCGCCGCTGGCGCGCGCCCGTGGTGTGGAGTGGGCAAATGTGCAGGGCAACTTCTTGAGCCCGCAATTTCCCCAGACCCAATCCCAGTCTTTTTCTGCCCGGAGTGAGCAGATGTGCGGGCCAGACTTGTTGGGCCTTCCCCTTCTTGCTAAGGGCGGGCAGATGTGAGCAGATGTGCGGGCCATTCATGTGTTAGTGCCAACGCCTTCTGTGAGCCCAATCCCTTGCCCTTTCCCCTGCCTTTCCGCGATCTGCTGGGCGAATTGCCCCGCGCCGAGGGGAGCGTGGCGGCGTTCGAATGCCTACTTGGCTGCGCAACGCGTCGCGCAGCTCCCCCAGGTATCAGACTGAGTGTTTGTGGGTGTCGAGCGCCCGCGGCGGCGCGCGCGCTCGTGTCCGCACGTCTCGTGTCCGGACGTCACAGAAGCGGGCCAGCTTTGCGGGGTCACCACTTGCGGGAGGGGAGGGGTGGGAGCTGCCCCCTGTGCACGTCCGCGGTGATCAGTGTGATGGCATGTGCGGGCCTATTTGTGGAGGGGTCCCCGGACGTTCCGCTGGCCCCAGTCCCTGTCCCGCCTGCTTGCAGTGGGCAGCTGTGCGGGCCAGCTGCTTCTTGGTCCGCACCTGCGGTAGGGGTTCCAGCGCCGTTGGTGCGTCTGTGGGCCAGACATGTGTGGGGCCTGCACTCTGCGTGGGCCAATTCCCTGCCCCGATTGCTTAGAGTGCGCTTGCAAATGTGCGGGCCAGTCTTTCCTTGTGTCTGCGCAGGGGAAGTTCCCCTGTCCTTAATGCGCGTGCGCTGCGCTTGAAGTGAACGAACGTGCGGGCCAACGATTGGTTCGGCGCGCACTTCTTGTCCCTATCCCATGATGTATGGGGCGACCCGATGTGCGATCCGTTTTCTTCGGCCCGCACTTTCCGAGGTCCCAGTAACTTCCATTTTTTCTGCTAGTAGTAAGCAGATGTGCGGGCCAGTGTTTGTGTTGTCCAGCACTTTCTGGGAGCTCCGGTTCGCTTAGAGCCAGGAGATGTGCGGGCCAATATGGTTTCGGCCCGCAACATCCGCGCGCCCAGACGCGTTCCCTGTTTGCTTGAAGCGAGCAGGTGTGCGGGCCAATTGTTCGGCGCCCGCACACTCCGCGAGTCCAATCTCTGTTCCCAGTCCTTGGTAGGCAGGTCTGCGGGCCAATCTGGTCTGTTGGCCCGCACTCTCCACGAGCCCAAACCCATTCCCTTTCCTGCTCAGATTGGGCAAATATGCGGGCCAATTGTTCGTTGGCCCGCACCCTCCGCGAATCCAATCCCTTTCTCCTTTTCGCTCAGAGCCGGCAGATGTGCAGGCCAATGTTTTGCCCGCACTTCCCGCAAGCCTCAATCCTTTCTCTCGTTGCTAGAAGCAAGCAGATTTGCGGCCCAAAGTTTGTACCCGCACTTTCCACGAGCCCAATTGACAGCGTTTTTATATGCTGGGCCCGTAACGTCTGTTAAAGGGGGGGGCGGTGGGGGAGGGGCATGCGTGCACCGCAGCGCCTGTGCACAGCGCCTGTGCACACCGCAGCGCCCGCGAACACCACAGCAGCCGTGTGCAACACAGCGCCGCTACACACCGCAGAGCCTGCGTGCACCACAACGCCTGTGTACACCGCAGCACCCGTGTACACCAGAGCAGCGTGTACACCACAGCGCCTGTGTACACCGCAGTGACGGTGTGCACCACAGCGCCTGTGTACACCACAGCAGCCGTGTGCAACACAGCGCCGGTGTACACCGCAGTGCCTGCGTGCTCGATAGCTCCTGCGTGTACCACAGTGGGGCGCCTGAGTGCCTGCGTCGCAGGGCCCGCGTGCGCCACAGCGCCTGTGCACACCACATGGCACGCGCACACCACCACAGCCACGCCTGTGCAGCCCGCAGGCAGCGCCCGCGTGCACCAGAGCGCCGCGTCCACAACAGTCGCAGCGGCCGCGTGCATTAGAACGCACGCGTACACCATGCCGCCGCCGGGGGCCTGAACCTTTTTCAAAACAATATGTCAGTTATTAATGTGTGTATTGACTTTTGTTGCCTGGAGCGCGGTCCCCTGGTTTTTGGCCGACACTGCCTGTGTACGCCGCACTGCCTCTGTACACCTCCCTGCCTGCGAACACCATCATGTTTGGGACCGCTCGCTGCAGCTGCTGCGGCATCATCTGCATGCAATCACAGCGCCCGTGAGCACCACGCGGCCTGGGGGCGTGCGGAACGGCGTCAGCATAAGGAATAGACGCAGGAGAAGCAGGAGGAGCAGCAGCAGGATGCCAAGATGCCGCCACCGTGTCCCCTGGCACGTCGAGGCGTGGAATAATGCAAACTGTTGTCAGGTACCTGCTTCCTCCCCGCTCTATTGCACTCGCCGCTGCTGACCCTCCTTGTTCCCGTTTGCGGTGCGAACAAAGCAATAGCCTGATAGCACCGCGGCGTGCAAGCACAACAGTTGCCTGCGAGCACAACCAGGGTCTGTGAGGAGAGAAAGATGGGGGGAGGGAGGAACATCATCTTCTATTTTCACCAAGGCAGGGATGCTTGCGCGCACCACAATGCTTGCGTACACCACAACAGCCGCGTGCAACACAGCGCCGGTGTACACCACAGCGCCTGCGTGCTCAACAGCGCCTGCGTACGCCTCCGATGTGTACACCGCGACAGCCGCGAGCTCGGGGGGTCGGGGTTCGCGCCACCGCCCGCAGTACGATCGTTACTGTCCTGGGGGGGGGGCCCCCGTGACAAGCGTTACGGGGGGGGGCGATAGTAGAACAATAGCATTGTTTTCGCAGTTTGCTAGGACTGCGCAGATGGGCCACTTTGCTGTTCGCCCGCACTTTCCGCACACCCAATCCCGTCCCCTTTGTCCTTAGAAGAGGACAGGCGCGCGGGCCTGCTTGCTGGCCCGCACTCTCCACGAGCCCGCTCCCTGTTCCTGTATGCTCAGAGGCAGAAGATGTAGAGGCCAGCTGCTTGGCCCGCGCTGTTCGCCCACCCCATCCCCTTGAATTCGTGTGCATCACCAATATTTTTGAAAAGGACCCGCTCGTCAGTCGGAGGGCCGTCACTTGGGGCATATTTTGCTCCCTGGGAAAAGGCCGCGTCTCGCACCACCAGGCCTTTGAGGTGGACATCCAGGCGAGGTCATCACGAGGGCCTTCGTCGCAGTCGACATACACGTCGTTCATTTTCACTCGCGCTCATTTCACAATGTGCTCGTTTCTAAGTGTTCCTGGCCCCCTTAGTGGCCAGGAAGAGGCCCAGGATAGAGCAATTTGAACTGAAAGGATCTGGGAAAAGTCAGAGAACTTTCGAAGAATCCGAAGTGAACAATGCGTACTGAATTTCTCAGAGCCAGCAGATGGGCGAGCGATTTGCCTCTGGGCCCGCATCTGCGGGGCGAGCCCGGCCGCCGCTGGCGACCATGCGGGCCGGGTGTTAATTTGGGGGGCTCCGCGGCGTCTCTCGGGCGACCCGCTGCGCGACCCCAGCCTGCTCGGGGCCCGCACCTCCTGCAGCTTGGAGACGGAAACGGGGGCAGAGAAAGAAAAACAGAGACGGTGACCAAGGGAGACAGCGAGAGAGGGCAAGACAATTACACCAAAGAGTAACCCCAATCGGAGGATGGTTTTCGCTGAGGAGATCGACCGGGGACCTGGGAGCCCGGGAGCCCAGAACCCACCGAAATCGGCCCGGAACCAATAACCGGGAACCCGGGAACCCGGAGCCGGGAACCCGGGAACCCAGCCTGCTACCAACATCGGCGGGAAACTTTTGTCAAATCCTTCAGCCGCTAGGACCCCTTCAGTGCCAGCACCGATTGGAGAAAAGCAGAGGACGAGCACAGCAACACCTGCCCAGGCTTGAGAGACCACGCCCGGCTTCAGGAATTGAGGCGCAGGGGCGCGGAGTGGACGGGGTTGTCGCTCTGCTTTTGGCCGAGCCAGGAGCCGCACACAGATCTCCGCCCCTCCTGCCAGCGCGAAACCAGCGCGGGATCGGCTCAGCCCCGGACCCCCGACCGCCACGAAGGAGGGTGCCTTAGAATGAAGGGGCCCCAGGACACACAAATAAATACACACAAATAAAAATACTCACCATATTTTCCCATGTTTTCTGGGCTTCTGTGTTCCCCCCCACTTCCCATACTTTCCCATATTTTCCTGGGAGTCGACGATTACTTGTGTCTGTGTGTTTTTTCCCCTCCTGATAGAAGCAGGATGCATCACCGAGCCAACGTAACGAATCTCGGGGCGCCCCCAGCTCGGCACACGGAGGTGGTGCAAATAGGACCCCATGGCGACCGTCGCTGCCCTGTTTACGCTGACGCGACGGGGTCAAGAAAATTGCTCCCTCCGAGGCTTCTTGAAGGGGCCCTGGGACACACAGATAAATAGACACAGGATTCCCAATATTTTCTCATATGTTGGGGGTTTGCGTCTTCCCCCCACTCCCCATACTTTCCCATATGTTCTGGGGAATCGACGATGCACTGCGTCTGTGTGTCAATTTCCCTCCTGATATACTCTGGTCAAGGCGGGTGGCCTCCCCTGCGACCTCACAGGCCGCGCGAGCGCGCCTGACAAAAGCCCAAGAGCGAACACGGGGACCTGATGGCACGACAAGCGGCCGGAGGGAGCCAGGACGAGCGGGAGGTTCGGTTCGGCTCTCCTTGAAAGCAAGGTGCACGACCTCGACAGCCGGAAGGCCGAACAATTAATGAGTGGCACAGCCCAGCGATCGGGAGGAGGCGGAAGGAGGGAATGAGAAATCGCCTCACTTGCGCGGTGCCAAACAAAACGAGGGAGGCTAGGGCTAGAAAGCTTGTCCGCCGCTGGTGCCCATAGGAGGGGGGGTAACCAAAGCGACCTCAAGAAAGCTCTAAAACCTCTGACGCAAAGAGTTGGGACCCCTCCTCTCAACCGGAGGTGAAGAACCACCAAACTGCAGCAACTGGAGGTGCGCACCTGCAGTGTGATGGCGCCGGAGCCTCAGCGATGGGCGGGAGCCTCGTGCATTTAAAATGGGAAAGCCTTCGTTTTCTCGATTGTGACAGGCTCAGGAGCAAACATCTAGAACAGGGCCTCGGCGTGCGATGGGGTGTCCCTGGGCTCATACAATCCCTCTCCCCCCCAAGTGGTTAGTCCCGGCTGGCCGTAACAGGCCCCCCGAACAGTCCCAGGGGCGCCGCCAGAGGCGGCACCAGGGTGTTGAGACCGCCCCAGACTACTCGGGGGGCCTGTTGAGGACAGCTAGGACTACTCGGGTGGCCCGTTGAGGCCGGCAAAGACTGACTGTCTCTGGGGGGGATGCCCGTGGGTAACCCGAAGCTTTGCCATCAGCGGTGTTCCTACATGCCCACAGACCCCCGATCTGCTGGAGTCCCAAGATCGGGGGTCTACTGATCGGGGTCAATCCAGACCCAGGTCGGTCATGCTTTGCAGGACCCTGCAAGATCCTGCAGGACCCTGCGCTCAGACCCAGGCCAGTGCAGTCCTGACCCTGCAGGATCATGCAAGATCTGACGCTCTGGCTGACCCGCACTTGCATTGACCCCCGTCTCCAGGCTCCCCTCCCCGAGCTCAGACAGCTTCCAACCAAAACTGCTTGTTCAAAATCCGTGGCTTCAGAGAGACCGCCAGACCAGATGCCCTGAACGGCTCCGGTGCCCACACTCGGCTGCGGGATGGGCCGAAATCGACCACGTGCGGTATGCTTCGGCGGCGAGCCCAGGGGGGCCACACCGAGGGGGCGGGCCTTCTCGGAAGGCTCGGGAGGCCTCGGGCCTCCCGAGGCGTGCTCTGAGCCGTCTCCGGAGGCAGACGGCTTCTCAGAAGGCCGGGAGGGCTTCTGGGGAGCGCCGCCCTGGCCATCGCTCGGACGGCCATTTCCTGTGTTTTTGTTCGGTTTCGTGCGCGTTTTTTTCGCGAAGTGATCGAGGGTGCTCCTCGATGGTCCCCACCGAGGAAAAAATGCACACGTCCGAGCGATGCCAAGCCGCCGCCTCCTGAGCTTCCGAGCAGGCCTGCCCCCTCCCACTTTCCCCCCCCCCCCCCGGCGCGCCGCCGAATAATGCTTTGAACGGGCGAAGAACGGTGTAAAATAAACTTTGTCGCTGTCGGGGGCGCCTGCCCCTGGGCGGCTGGAAAGTGTAATTTATACCGTTCTTCGCTCGCTGATGCTTGGCCGTGCCAAAGTAGTGTGCGTCCCCCCCGAAGACGCGTCCTTGCGGAGCGCCTGGCACTCGCTCCGCAGGTGGGGCATCTCGTCGGCCGTCTGCGCGAACGTCCTGGCCTGCTCCTCGGCCTGGCTCTCGGACTGCCTGGCCGACGCAGCTGCTGTCGGGAGAGGGCTCGAGTCGAGTGGGCGACTCAGGAGCCATCGCTGCAGCAAGTCCGCCCAGCAACCACTTCCGGAAATCTACGTGCGCGCTTGAGCACTTCATGTGGTTTGAGAACGTAACTCTCTTTATGTTGTCTCCTTTTGTTTGTCTCTCTCTTCCTCTCTCACTCTCTCACGCACACACACAGTCTCCCTCCCTCTCTACCCAGCCCCAGGGAAAGGCAGAATGTGTTGGCACCTGGAGCTGAACACGACGACTCGCAACATCCTCTTTATTGTTCGTCCTGCTGGTCATCCTCGTCTGCAGTCGTCATCAGGAACGGGCCAGAAAACAAACAGCACCACCCCACCTGCGACCCCGCGGGGCTGAGCGTTTCCCAAGACATCGGGCGTGGGTGGGCTTCTGGCGTGGCATACGCTGCGGCCCCCGATGAGGCGCAGCGCAGCGTGGAGGGCCGCAGGCGGGGTGGTGTCGTTTACGGCGCTCTCTCATCGTCATCGACTCCCGGACGCGAGTCGACGCCAGCCGACGCTATAGACGGAAGTAAGAGGGTACCGTCGGGGCGTTGACCTAAGGAACCCTAAGTAAGGAACGAGGCCCCTTTTTTTTCTCCATAAATTAAACTTCGGCTTCCTATCGACAGCATAAAGAAAACCTGAGGCAAACTGCGAAACACTTAAGGAACGCGGAACCCCTCCCCAACGAAAAGGGTTCCTTCTTCAGGGCCCCGACTGTATACCAGGCTCCCATGTCTTTGATTGAGCGTACGGGAGGCAGGCAATCTGCACCACGGTTTGCCGTTGCGTGGGCACGCCTCGCGGCAGGGGCGCGGAGGGGAGGAGGAGGAGGCGGGGGGGCGGGACGACTCCAGCCGCGGCGCCGACGCCGCCCCGCGAATACCACGAACCGCAACAGACGAGCAAGACATGCCACACGCTGTGAACCAGAAGGGGCCCCAGGCATCGGGCTACAGTCAACCCGCTTGGTGACCCTTGCATCCTTGCCCCCTCGACCCGTCCTTGGCGGCTTTCGCTGGCCGCGCCCCGCCCGCAAAGCGTCGGCATTTGCCTTTCAAATCCCTTGCGTCTTTATCGTGCGTTCTTATTCTACGGGTTGGCTGTATTGCACTGTGGACGCGAAAGCTGTGCGCTGTGTGATACGTGTAGGTGGGGGTCAGCGCTGTGTGGTGCAAGCTGTGTGGTATAGGTTATGTCGTGTACTATCTATAGGTTATGTGGGCTGAACGTGATGGCTACGCGATGCAAACTTAGTGTAACGTATGTTGCCGCGCGAACCATGTGATGCATGCCCTGGGTTGTTAGCAATGCGGTGCAAACTACGTGGCGCAACGTCACCGCACCAGGGCGCCCACAAGCACCCGCGAGGCGGCAGGGGCGGCAACAGTGCGCAACCTCAACGGACCCACTAAACTCGGGTGCGCGCAAACATGGATTATCGATCCACGGATTTGGCGCGCGGTCGCCAGATCCATGGATCGGGGGAGGCGCCCCCCCCCCCAAAATGCGGCCAGGTGCGGTTTCGCTCGGCGGCGGGGATCCACGTTTTCCCATAGAAGCGGGACCCGTCGCTAATCCACGCCCCCCTGATCTATATGGGCGATCGCCTGATAAGCGGTCGGGGCGCTCGCGGTCGCGCACGAGCGGCAACGTGACGCCACCCTGGCGGACCCGCCCACCGCACGGGGCGCCCGCGAGGCGCCCACGAGGCGGCAGGCTCGTCAGGCTTGAATATGGAGGAAGTCTCAGGCGGGAGCTTCGTCAGTGAGTGACTTGCGAGGAAATATCATGCGAACGCCTCCCCCCAATGAGGTCCCCACTTCACGTTGGTAATCCGAGCAGGTTTTCGGCAACATATAACTGTCGTCACGTTTCGGCTCCTCTGGACTGAGCGCGGAGGAAGTGCCACGCGGGGGCTTCGTCTGTGAACGGATAGCGGGGAAGTCTCCGGCGGGAGAGCCCCCCCACCTATGGGGTCCGCACTTCACGTTGGCAACCCGAACGGGTCATCCGCGAGCTGTACCAGGCAAGACACTTGAGCACCCCAAAGGGGCACATCACGACGCGTGAAAAGTTCAGGCGGGAGTCTCCTCCCTAATCACAGGTCGCTCGAAGAGTTCGACAAGAGAGCGGTGGACTTCGGGGCTGAGGCGGAGCAGCTCGCGGCAGAGCTGCGCTTCGTGCTGCCTCCCACCTGAGCGCGGCCGCGACTTACTCGGTGCCTGCGGGGCTGTCCCAACGGCTTGCTCTCGCGCCCCAGCGGCTCGCGGGGTTGTCCCAACGGCCGTTGCCCCGACGGCTTCGCGATTTTGCCATCGGAGAACGCGCCCCTGCCAGGCGCGGCCGCGAGGGCGCCGAGGAAAATCGGCATGCGCCCCCCTGCCAGGAGCCCCCTGCCAGGAGGAAAGAAGGGTGCATGAGGAGAACAAGCGGGATGGAGATTCGGGGGGGGGGGGGAGCAGGAGGAGGAGGAGGTGGAGGAGGAGGAGAAGGACGAAGAGGGAGAGGAGAAACTGAACAAGGAGGGCGAGCAGGAGGAGGAGATGGAGGACGAGGAAAACAAGGAGGATAAGGAGGAGGCGCAACAGATGGCGAGACGGGGGGTTCGGCCAGGGCGGAGAGAAAAGAGCGAAAGGCAATCACAATATATTACCATGTGGGCTCCTACTGTGGGCTCCTACCGTGGGAGCACTTGTTTTTCGTTGTACGGGCACCCTCCTCCGCACTACGTCTCCCTCTTCCCCCCTCCGTCCTGACATGGGAACCGAAGAGCAGGAGGAGGAAGAGGAGGAGGGATCATGATGTGGTATGATGATGGCGTCTTTGATAATGAGCATGAGGGTGCTGAGGCGGAAGATGATGGATAATGATGAGCATGAGGACGACGAGGGATGATGAGGGTGATGGTGATGATCATGAGGGTGGGGAGGAGGGATGTTGATGAAGATGGTGATGTTGATGTTGATGTTGATGATGATGGTGATGATGATGACGATGATGATGCAGGATGGTGATGGTGGTGATGAGGAGGAGGGACGATGATGATGAGAATGAAGGGGGTTAGACGGAGGGGGGAATGGGAATGACGACCATGATGATGATGAGGAGGAGGAGAGAAATAGAGAGAGAGAGAGAAAGAGAGAGAAAAAAAAAGACGACGACGAGGAAGAACGGAGACTGGAGGGAGAGGAGGAGAATGGGAGGAACGCTGGCAACGCGAAGAGTAAACTTCACGCACCGTCCAGCCGCTCCGGCGGGTTGCTTTGTGTATCCCTGCTCTCGTCCCGCACCTCCTCGTTCACACCCTCGCATCCGTCCTCTTCGCCCCTTCGTCACTCGTCTGTCATTCCCCCTTCGTTCCTCGTCTGTCCTTTAATTGTTCGTTGTTTCTCTTCTCCCATGTCCCCTTTCCCCTTTCAATATGTTCCTGCTGTTGTGACTCCTCCCTCATTCATGATTACCACCATCATCGTCATACTCACCGTCATTTTCACCATCAGACCAATACAAGTCATGTTCACCCATATCAAGAACAGTATGGTCCTTTTTACCATGATCATCGTCGTACTCATCATCATCATCATCATCATCATCATCATCAGCAGAATGATCATCACCATCATCAGCAGAATGATCATCACCAGCATCTCAAGCACTACCATAATCATCATATTCATCAGCATCACCATCACCATCATCATCATCATCGTTCCCATCAACATCATCATCAACAACATCATCATCAACAACATCATCATCATCATTAAAGTAACCGTAATCAACGTCCACGGGGTCCCTTCATCATGGTCATAGCTACTCTCAGTGAAGCCATAAAATGATCCGCATGTTCCCCCTCGTCGTCATGACCATCATACTCAGTGGTCATGCATCGCCATGCTCCGCTGGCTGTCCCTCATCATACATGTCACCCTCATCGACAGAATCATCAATGTCATAATGCGACTCCTTTTTGGCTGCGTAGACTTCAACAAACCGATATGTTGATGATGAAGATGAGATGAGGCAGAGAGAAGGAAAATCATACAACGGAACGGGGCATGATCAGGATAATAATGCAGAAGAACAGGACAGGAACTCTGTGAGTGTCGGATCTAGGCAAAGATGCTTAAATCAGGTTCTAATCCCCCCATCACCACCATAATCAGCACCAGAATCACCATGCTCCTCCTGGTCCTCTGCCGTCTGCTGCTCCTGATCGTCACCGTCATTACTATACTTCGGCTCCTCCTTGCTTGTGAAGCCACCAACGGCCCAATAAGTTGATGACGAGCATGAGATGAGGTAGAGAGCCGGACCCTAGTAACACAGAGAAACAATCATGCGGAGGAGCAGGACGCAGATACTTGAAAATCTGCGAGGACCGGATTAGCCATAGATGCCCATATCCGTTCTTACCTCGGGTTGTAGGCATTTCATGTTGGTTGACATTGCATTGTATTCCCATTGGTTTGAAACGCACGGGCATCGGATTGGTTTTAATTGTACGGCGCCCTTTTTGTGTCCCATTGTGAAGGGTCACTGATGCTCTCCTTTGTCAGGGCTAGGCCTTCAGAGGGATCGGAACAGATTCAGGCTTCTATGCCGAAATCCACTCCTCACAGATTTCCTACTTCTCTACACTCTGCTCCCATGAATCGTGCCTCTTTGCGTGTTTACATTCTCCTGCACTCTGCCTCATCACACTCCCATCATCCACTTCTTAGGGCGGCTGATCTTTCTCCAAGGAAGAAAGGGGTCGCATTATGATATTGATTATCATGCCAATGGTGAGGAGGGATATGCTGAGAGGCAGCAGGCGGAAGAGGATTAGGGAGAGCATGGTGACGATGGTGATTGTGATGATGATGCTGAAGGGCCGCATGTGGATGATGTGTTGGTGATGATTATACTGCTGATGACGCGCGCTACACCCGCGCACGCAAGCAAGCTCACGTCATGAGGCGCCGCGCGAAAAAGGCATTCCCGCGCGAGAAAACAGCGCGCGCCACATAGTCTAAAAGCTCGCCTCCCGCCCCCCCCCTTCCGGCCCCATCCCTCCTTCCGACCTTCCTACGGCAGCAAGGGGGCGCTCGCGAGATGAACGCCTCGCCGACGCGAGCGACTGCTGCAGCTGCGCCAGGTCGGCCGCAAGGCTGGCGCCTTGCTCCTCCTGGCGTGACCTGGGGACCGGGCGGCTCCTCCACCCCCTGGATGCGAGCACTGCTCTGGGAAACACAAGCATGCTCCCTCCTGCCGCCTCCTCCTCCTCCTCCTCCTCGTCCTCCTCCTCCTCCTCCTCCTCCTCCCTCCTCCTCCTCCCTCCTGCTCCTCCTCGTGCCAGTGCCCCTCACAGCATGCGCGCTTTCGCACGCGCGCCTTGCATTCCTCCATCCCCCTCCTCACTCTTGCAATCCCCACCTGCTCCTCGTCCCCCATGCACCAACCCCCACTCCCGGCTGTTGCACTTCTCTCCAGTTTTTGCCTCGTACGACCATGGGGGTTATTGGGCGTGTTGGGTCAAACCGCCCCTCTCGTCCTCTTTCTCCTCCTCCTCCTGCTCCTCCTCCTGCTCCTCCTATTCCTCCTCCTCGTCCTCCTCCTCCTCACCCTTCGCCCCCGTCGTGGTCGTGGTCATCTTTCCTCCTGCTCAGTTCTCCGGGTCTTCCCTTTGGCAGCACGCCCTCGAGGCGAAGGGATTTATCCCCTAGATAATATTTGCCAGATCGAATTTGCGAATAGGCTTACAAATCGAATGTGCGTGTAGTCGACGTGGCGAAGATCTGGTGCTTGTTCGTTCGTTCGTTCGCTCCTCCTTCCCCTCGTGAAGAAAGCGCGTCGCCCGTACTAAAGCGACCCGAGGAAGGGGGCTCAAATCGCTGGGGCTGGGCAAGTTGCTCCAGAGACACGAGGAGCATCACGAAGGATCCACAGACCTCCAGCGTCGCGAATCCTGTGCAATCTGGACGCCTATTCTCAAGCTGCGGCTGTCGGGGACAGCATTCAGATCCCGGGGCAATCAAACGACCCAGCGCGAAAATATCTCTTGCAATAAACACGACGTCGAATGCCTGCGTCGAGCTCTCGGGAGCACCCTATCCATAAGCTCCCTGGGCGATGCTCTCGCTATGCCTTTCGGCAGCCACTGCGTAACGGTATTGCTGCTGCTTCGCTGCTGCCGCTGTTCCTGCGGCTGGTGCGTGCCGAATCTTGCCGCTGGAATGCAAGCGAAGTGCTGCAACTGGCTCTCCAGAAGCATCAAGGTGAACTTTTTCTCATTCGGCGTTGCGACATGTGGCGGAAAGAGGGGGAAGGAAGGGGGGAGGGTCTGGCTCCGGCCCTCTGCTTTCACGCGCCTGTTTGCAGCAGTGCGCCCCGTGGAGAAGACTCCGCCTGCTTGACGCATGCGCCAGGAACAGCCAAGATCTACTCCATGGGGGGGGGGGGGCAGGGGGGTGCGAGGGCCCGCGCCGAGCGCCGATCGGCAAAGCAATGAATAAGAAAACGATCATTGGAGGTCTGGAAATGAGCACCAACACCAACACAAGGGGTTGCCTCCACAGGGGGAAGACGATCCTGGATTTCGGTCTTGGCGGTGACATTTCGGTCACCTTGGAGGCCAGGAATATCATCACCATCGCCGAGATCGGGATCTCCTCCCCTCGATGGAGGCACACCGCTGAGCTTGGTGTTGGTGTCGACCTCCGGGCCTGCGATCGATCGCCACACTCCCCAGACGGCCCGCAGAGCCTTCGGGCCCGACGGCTCCCGAGCGGGCGCTCCGTTGCCGGAGAGCCTGCGGCAGAGGGCGGGGCCCTCCGCTGCGGCCGACCCGCGGGTTCACTGCGGCGGGCTCTGGTGGGACGCATCGGGCACTGGCATGCCGTCTCCTGCTGCTGCTGCTGCGAACGGCCGAAGGAGACGAGGTCTGTAGCCGTGCACACCTTTCCTGCCCCTCCCACCCGGCAGGGACCCGGGTGGGAGGGGGAGCTCATTAGGGATCATGCCTCCTCCTCCTCCTCCTCCTCCTCCCTGTCCTTCTCCTCCTCTTCCTTCTCCTCCTCCTACTCCTCCTCCTTCTCTTCCTCATTCTCCAACTCTCCCTGGCTCTGCAGTACCTCGCCTCACCCTCTCCCCTCCGCCGCCAACGCAGCCATCGATGGGCCATCCGCCGTCCAGGCTGGGCGGTGGCCCGAAGCTGTTTCTCTTCGTGAGCTTCTGGATCTGCCCAAGCAGCTTCACGCGGCCCTGCGACTCCCCAGGGCAGCCTCGGACATCGTCCCGGGTGACCCAAGAGACCCAAGATTGCCAAAAGGTCGGCCCCCGACGTGTCCCCAAAAGACTCCAGGGCGACCCCGACATATTCGGTCGGGGACTCAAACGAAATCATGACATCGGCGGAACGAATCGGGTTGGTCGAATATTTCTACTGAGCGTGACAACAGAACGTCCCAAAGCCGAACCGCACTGTGCCGTGCAAGCCGCATCGCCCAAGCCGGCGAATGGACAGACACGAGTGGCGCTGCTGGCTGGTGGCGCCCTAAAAGAGGACTTTGCCAACTTCGCGACGTCGGGGCCCGGATCAGGGTCTCTTTCTCCGATGCCACCGCGCACTTTGAAAACGCGCCGATATCCTGGCCGGGGAGCCAGCAAAAAGGCGCCGCTGGCGGCCCTTGTCGCCCGCCGCGGGTGCCTATCGCCCTGTAACTCTCCCCGACCAGGATCGGTGCCACGTGGCCCCTGTGTCTCGTGAGCGGGAGGATGCGGAAAAGAGGAGGATCGGAGGGTTCCAAATTGGGTTTTTGGGGAGGGTGTTTTCCAGGATGGGTCCCCCAGGGGCTTCGCACCCTCTGTTTTGACGAGGTTCCGAGGCCCCTGGGGGGCTCTCTGGAAAACCCCCTCCTCAAGAACCCCTTTGGAACCCTCCTGGGAGGAGGCGGAGAAACCATGTCGTTGGACACCATCTTTCGAAGCAACGATCGGAAGCGGTCCATCGGCACTCCACGCCGGCCGTGACTGGTCACGACCGATCGCGACCGATGGATGATCGGTCGCGGCCGAGTCTCTCGAGCACAGCAGCCGCGACCGATGCCGAAGCCAGCCAGGAGGCGACCGATCTCGTCGGTCGCGGCCAGAAGCATCTGAGCGACGACGAAAAAATAGGGAATCGAACTCCTGGTGTATACGGGACCCTGGTGCATACGGGACCCTGGTGTATACATTGTTCGTTGCTTCCCAGGGGCATCGGGGGAAAAAGTAGACACCACACCACCCCAGCGTCGCCCTGGACCCTTAAAAAGTCCTGGGATTTGAAAAACAGCTCGCCACTGGTAATGTGCATGTTCCCGTTTTCGAGAAAGGGGCCCCACGCGGAGTGACACACCGACCATGCGCGGTGGCTCACGCAGGCCGCCGGCGCGGCACGCTGCGCTGTAAACGAGGGCGCTCGCGCACGACCTGACGCGGCCAGCGCATACGCGCCGATGTCGGTGCATTTCGGAGCCGCTGTTCTGCATCGCCCGTGTGGCATCCAGCGATCGGGGACAGGAGGCCACATGCGAACCCTCCCCCACCACCCCACGACTTCTGAGGGGGGAGGTGGGGTTCCCTTCGTCTGGGACCTCCCGAGCGAGGTGACCCCCACCTCCCCTCTCAGAAATCATGGGGTGGTGGGGTAGGGCTCGTATGTGGCATCGACGTTGCCAACAAATTGCAACATCGCAGAAAATCACGACCAGACCCCCGGACCCCAACTTTCTGCGCCATTCCTCGGGCCGGACCGCTCTCTGTGAGGGCCCCGGGCCCAAAATCGCGGGAACATGCCCGCGGCGAACAAAAAACTGCAGCGCCATGACCTCAGGGCGAGGGGAGCGGAAGAGGGTGGGAGGGGGGGGGGCGGAGGGCCCCGGCCCGCTTCTGCGCACGAGGCAAGAGGCGGGGCCCACCGCCCCCCAACCGCTGCCCCGCCCCCGGCGGCACGCGCGCCGCTGATGGCTGCTGCGCGGCGCCCTGTGTGCCGCCCCGGGCGGGGGCGGGGCCGCGCCGCCACACGGCCCCGCAGAACGGGGCGGGATCGGGCGTGAACTGAAGAGGGGGGCGATCAATTTGGGGGGGGAGAAGGGATGTGCACTTCTCGGGCCCTACAGGCCTCCCTCTGGGCTCCTCAAGGGCTCCTCCAGGGGCCCTCAAGGGCTTCTCTGGGAGCCCCAAAGTGCCCTAGGAGCCCTAAATCAAGGGCCCCTCAGCAACGCCCAGGAAGCCCCAAAGGAAGCAACGCCCAGGGAGGGGCGGGGGCCCCCCTTAGCGTCGCCCTTCCTGGGCTCTGGTCCTTGGGCCCTACAAGGCTCCTCTAGTGGGTCTGTAGGGCCCCTGTTCCGGCAGCCCTCGCTGCCCCCCCCACTTCTCGCCCCCCCATTACGCGACGCCCAACGGGGACCAGCCGCAGGTGGGCCGGGAATCGCTGAATTCAAACTGGGTATTTTGCGGGCAAGGTGAGTGTCTGTATCCACTGCGTCTTGGAGTTTCGGGCTCCACTCCCCAGAAACCAGCGGCGCAGTGCGTATGGATAAACATCGGGCCCCTGGAGGCTAGAATTTTATACATCTCCACTGCGCCTCGGCCTTCCCTTCCAAAAAAAACCAAAACGCAGTGGGTATGGATGCAAATCTTGCCCGCATATTTTGAGGGGGAGCTGACCGCACCCGCACCCATCGGCCGCTCTCTGGCCGACCGCAGGCGCGGGGACGCACGCCCTCATCGGTTGACTGCTCTCTGGCCAACCGCAAGCGCGGGGACACCCTCATCGGTCGACGGCTGACCCTGAGACCCGACATTGCGAAACAAGTTGCAACATCGCAGAAAAAAAACACCACTGGAATCCCATGCCCCATTTTCAGCGCCATACTTCGAGCCGGATCGATTCGTGGTGGAGCCAGGGCCCGAACACTGGCGAACATCCAAGTGTGAACAATTGCGACGTCCGGATCTCAGGGAAGTTCAGGCTGAGTTCAGGCTGACGCACCCATCGGCCGCCCTCTCTGGCCGCCAGCAGAGACATTGCAACTGGAAAGCTAAGGCAACGGTCGTTACTGTGCTGGGGTGGAGGGGTCCCTGGGTAACGGTAGCGATCGGGTGAGACGGGGAACGCCGGGGCGGGGGTGCGCTGCGATCGCCATATGATGCGCGCGAGCACCAGCATGTGGGAGGGATGTCGGGGGGGGGGCAGGCCCCCCCACCCTACGCACGATGATTGCCGTGGCCCGGGAGGAGGGGACTGGCCTGGATAGCGACCGCTGCGCGCCTGAGGAGTAACAAAAACAGCATCAGGCCGAGTCGTCAGGCAAACGCACCCATCGACCGCCCTCTCTTGAGCAGGGACCGACCGTCCCGGCACTCGTATAGGCCTACCACGACATGTTTTCATAACCCAGAAGCTTTCTAAAAGCGAAAACAATGTTCTTAGAACATAAGCCCGATGTGTAAAAGCAAAACAGTCCCAGCCAGAAATGCTCTCTGAGAACATTCCCTGGGAACCACAGAAGAAGGCTCTCATGAAATTGTCTGGTAAGCCCACAGGCAAGCCGGGACGCTTCGCCTCTGCTCGACTCTCTGGCCGACGGCCGGCGCTGCGCCCTGCTCTCGGGTGTTGCCAGAACTGCCCCTGGCCCAAGGTGCCCCCGCGATTCCCGGGGTGGCCCAGACGGCCTCCAGAGCACCCCTGACGAGGCCCAGAGGGCCCCAGGGGCCCAACAGTGGAGCGAAAAGCGGGGGGCACATTGGGCCAGGGGCACTTCTGGCAACACCCGATGCTCACGCGAGGGGGCCCTGCGCCGCGGCCGCGGCGCCCGCCTCGTGCGCCGCGGCCATCAGCGGCGCCGCGGGGCTTGCGGGCTCGCCCTTCGCGGGGCGCGGCGGCTCCTCGCGCGCTCCGCCGCGGGCGGCGCAGGCCGCGGCGGGCGGCGCGGGCGGGGCGCCGGCGGCGCTCGCCCGCAGCGCGCGCATCACCTCCAGGATGCAGCCGCGCAGGCCGTCCTCGTCGTCCAGGCGGACGTTCGAGCCCTCCTCCTCGAAGTGCAGGCGGACGGGCTCCGCGGCGTCGAGCGCCTCCTCCTCCTCGGCGGCCTCCTCCTCGATCGGACCGGACGAGCCCGAGCAGCCGAAATTCGGGGAGCTATGTTCCTTACCTTCCCGGGGGGAGCCCATCGTACCGACGATCTCCCGAGAAGCGTGTCGAAGCCGATGCGTCCCCCAGGATGGTCGACGGATGAAAATTGGCTTCATTTTGCTTCAGCTGGCAACCGGTAATTACAGGACGCGCGTGCGTACATACCAACCCGAAGTTGTTCCAGTATGCAGGAAACACCGGTCATTCATCTCTAACAACGTTCAACCATGTATCACGATGCTCAACGCGCTGTACTGAAATCTTGAATTGTGACCGGTTGAACTACCAAACACAACTTGTATGCTTGATGTTACGGCCTCGTCATGTTGAGACCAATCGCTGGGCATGGCCAACTCACGAAACATGGGCCCCTAAGCGAAGTTCGAGTTTCACTTGGTATAGCGACTTTGTGATACACGTGGGCTATACAGTTGAAGCATACAATCGCACGGTGTAGCATGACTCATGACTATACATAAGATGTGTGACGCAGCTAGTATAGCCGAACAAGCAATGTGATTGTTTATCTACGTGTCGAACCAAAAGAAGCGTGCGCGGTGAAGAATGCAACATGTTGTTTAGAACCGTTCCCATGGACATTCAGGAAAACATCTAAACATAGCATGTCGGCGCAAAGTTTCTGAACATGATGGATGACATACGGTTACATGGAATTTCGTTCAACCCCGCATGTTCAAAGATTGAAAACTATGTGTTTCACAATGATGCTCGCATGTACGGTGCACCGCTGGGTTCCAAGTCTTGTTTGCTCCATGGGGTCGCGTTTTGTTTTCTGCATCTATGCGGGCTGATCGGTCGATGCTGCTGTTGTTTGGAACTAGGTGTTTTCTGCGCGGAACAGACGGGGATGCGATGCAATGCGAGGTGGAGGGTGAACATGGCGAGGGGGTGCACGCTGAGGTTGGGCGGGGCGGCGGGGCAATGCTGACGGGGCGATGGCCGGCGCGGCCGCCGAGATGCAACTCGCGCGCGGTCGCCCCCCGCCCCCATTCCCGCGACGGTGTTTGGCTGCAGCTCGCGTCGTTGACCGCGAGCAGCTGCATCTGTTTAGACTATCGGTGTTGGAATGCGCGCACATGTTTGTGGCGAAATGGCGGCGCCCGCTCGGGAGGGCGAGATGACATCCAGCATGCGCCTGCGCACCGCAGAGAGGGTACCTTGATGATGGGGCGGGAGCTGCCGTGCGCGCGCTTGGCGGGGCTTGGCCTTGCGAAGCAGCTGCGGGCCGCTCCTGAGATCAAGCGCCCCAGCGGGTCCGCCCGACAAGCTGCGTTTGCAATGCGTGCCAAGGCCGCGGCCCCAACAGGCAGGAGCGCAGCGCGCGCGAAGCGCCCGTGTAAACTCGATGCGGACAATGCGCGATACGCATCAAGAACCGCAACGGTACGCTGATTGGCCTGCACGAGCGCCGTGTGCACGGACAAAATACGCATCCGGCCGCAGCCCATCCTGATTGCGGCGGCGGCGATAGCGTCGGCGATTCGGGGCGCTGGTATCTGACGCGCGTCGGCGCTCTTGCTGCAGCAAGGGGCGGGTTTCAGAAAGGATCCTCGTGGGCAAAGGCGTCTACCTGCACGGCGGTGGAAGCACCGCCTGCAGGGTCAAGTGCCTTGGAAACGGTCTCGGCTACAAAATCGATACGGCAGGTTCGTGTCGTGCCGATCTCGGCGTTGGTTTCTGACACCGCGGGGATCGTTCAACCTTGAGCGCTCGGCCGTTTCCGAAACGTCCAGACCGTTCCACATCGAACGATTATGGGTCGCCCGCGGCGGTTTAAGTTGAACGCCGCGGGCGGGGTCGCCGCCGGCCGACACGACAAGAACCTACCGTAGCTGCCGCCCGATCGAAAGGGTTGCCCGCACTGTACGATGACGCGGCGCGCCTGTTCATCATAGGCGGGAATCCCGCAAACGCCATCTGCCACGTCAGTAGGGCGGGCTGCGACAGCCTCGCTAAGAGCCTCTGAACCGAGGGCGGCACGCGTGACATCGCCAAACTCGCCTAGCAGCCGCCCCTCCTGGACGCAGCCACCGACGGCTTGAAGTTCTGCAAGATCTCGTGCAGCGTCAGGCTCCACGTCCCTGGCTTTTTCGACGTCGTTGGCAATACTCGGCGGCCCCGCCGCCCCGTCGACGCGGCGTGGCGCCGCGTGCGTTGCATGGCGTGTGAGATGGATTCTGCAAATTGGTAAGTCTTGGTTCTGACCCATCACAGCTGCGCGTTACAGCGCCACATGGATGTAGAGTCCAAGGGGCGTTGAGCATGGAGGCTCTGGAGGGGAGGGCTGAGATCTCGCTCGCCGCGCGTGCAAGACCAGGCGGTGGACGACCTCATCGCGAGCCGCGCTGATGGGAAGAAGAAGAAGAAGACGAATGATAACAATAAGAAGAAGACACGGCACTGGAGACGACGTCCGCAGCGGAAGGGCACGGCCCGCGAGCTCGCGATCACAGAACAGCTCGAGGAAGGACTTAAACGGCCTTGCACCGAGCACCGTCGCACCATCGCGCCCTCGGTGACAGGGCGCGATGGTGCGGCGGGGACCTGCTGCGGGAAGGCCGACGCCCTCGCCGACTCTCCGCTCGCCCCCTCCCCGCCCTCCCCCTCCTCCCCCTCAACGCGCTCCCTGCTGCAGCTGCGAGCCGCGCTGCAGGACGCAGCGGGCGCGGTGCGCTGCGCGGGCTCGGAGTTCATCGGCGCAGAGGCGCAGCTGGCGACGAAGACCAGCCCGCCGCGCGTGCCGCATACGCGCATGGCTCGCATGGTATGCGGCCGGAGGCGGTTCCGCGGCCTGTGCTTTGCTGGTCGCATTTGGTCTGTGAACCGATCTGTGCTGCTGCTCACTCCTGGGATCGACTCCTTCGGCACTTGGAACAGGGACATGCCGCAGCCGCTGCAGATGCTGAAAACTGTGGGCTGCAACTCCAGCAGCAGCTTCAACGTCGCAAACTATACGCGTCGCTATACAAACGTCCTCCTCTTGCTACTCCTGCCCCTCCTCCTCCTCCTCCTGCTGCTGCTGCTGCTCCTCCTCCTCCTGCTCACCTTCATCAGACTCCTCCTCCCACTCCTCCTCTTCCTCCTCCTCCTCCTCCTCCTCATGCTGCCTTATATTCCCTCTCGTCCTCCCCCTCCTCCTCTTCCACCTCCCCCATCCTCCATTTCATCATAATCATCATCATTATCATCATATTCATCAGCAGCAGCAGCATCAGCAGCATCATCACCATCATCATCATCATCATCATCATCATCATCATCATCATCATCAACATCATCATCATCAACATCATCATCGTCATCATTACAGGCATCATCATCATCACCATCATCATCATCATCATCATCGTCGTCATCAGCATCATCATCATCGTCACCACCATCACCCTCACCAACCATCAACACTCGTCACCCTCAGGCTTTTCCTCATCCACCGTCAACAACATCATAACCAGCAGCACCAGCATCAACAATCGTCACCATCATCTCGACATCGTCCTCACCCTCATCATCAAACTCATACGTGCGCGGGAGCGGACCTCATCATTATTATCATCATCCCCATCTTCACCATCCTCACCCTCATGTTCATAAGCATCCTGAGGCTTCATCCTCATCACAATTCCCATCAGCATTCTAATCACATTCGTCCTCCCCATCATCAGTAGACGTTTGAGATGCTATAGCGTGATTTACCCTAAACGCGCACAAACCAATTACACCATTACCATGCTTCAGCGACTAACACATGAAGAGGCCACACCGTAATCCAACTTCAGACTTCCGTAGCGCCTGCTGATGTCTTGGGTGCTTACAACATGTTGTGGCTACCGAAACGAATTATAATTCCCAATTTCATCAAAGTAAGGACCACAGCTCCTCCAGCTGTGGTTGGTCTGCGAAGGGGGGGCTAGCGGATCAGCCCTCACACAGCCAGTTTTCCCGGCGGGCGCCTCCCTGCGCCAATGTCTGTCGAGGAGGGCGCCCAGCGGCAGTGCCAAAACCAAATGCAGATGCACCGGTTTTCACACACACACACACTACCATTTTTCAGAATTTCGACCCGATCCCTGGGATCGCCTCCTCATCCTGCATCGCTGTTTGGCAGCGCCGAGGCCTTGCTGGGGCCCCCCGAGGCCGAAGGTAGCGCGGAGCCTCCAATCACGCTTTCAGAGGCCTCCTAGATGGGGCTCGAGTGGAAGGGACCGGACCCCACCTAGGAGGCCTATAGGTTGTCAGGGCCCCCCTGAGGCCGAAAATTAGCGAGGAGCCTCCGATCGCGTTTCGTCCATGGCCCGCGGGGATCTTCGACCCCCGCGCCATCCTCCTGCCGCACGCCGGCGAAGAAGTCGCTCCTCAGGGCCTGCCGCGCCGTGGCCCGGTCCTCCGGGGAGAAGGCCAGCAGCCGTCCTAGCAGCCGCAGCGCCGCCTCCCCCGCGTAGGGCACGCGGCCCCGCACGCCCTGCCCCGCGCGCGCCTGGAAGCACTGCACGTACCTGCGCGCGTCGGCCCGGTCCAGCCTGGGGCGCAGGAGGACATACTATGATGGGCCTGTTTGCACCACCAACGCCACCATGAGTTCGAGGGGGGAAGGAGGAGGACGAGGAGGAGGAGGAGGTGGAGGAGGAGGAGGAGGAGGAGGAGGAGGAGGAGGAGGTCCTCCAACTTATGATGGTGGTGGTGGGAAACAGGCCCATCATACTAGTCTTAGGTCGGGCCTGTCCCCCTACAGGGGGATTTCGGACGACAACCAACAGAAAAAGTCAAACTATACCACCCAAAATACTCAAACATAGTAAAACAAATCATCCCCAGACTATTTTTTAACTATTTTTGAAGATTCCTCCTGTAGAGGGACAGGCCCGACTTAGTACTAGTCTGGCGGCGCGCGAAAACGGGGCACGGGGAGGGGGGAAGGCTTCTCCAGCAGCGCCCTGCTTCTCCAGCAGAGGGCGCGGGCCTTGTCCGCAGATGTGAGGCCGGCGCCTGCTAAGAGGCAGCCTCCTCCTGAGAAGCCTTCCGCCCTCCCCCAGACCCCCCTCTGCGCGTGGCCGACTGAGACTGTGCGCTCTCCGCAGAACCGCCCGTCCGAACCGAACCTATAGTACAAACATCGTGTCGCATACCGTGTCCCGAGCGGTGTCGGTATGGCCACAGAGCGCCCACCACGTAGCCTACACCAGAAGATTGCTCGGCACGCGCGTCGCCCCAGGAGGGGACGAAGTGCGCATTAGCACGTTGGGGCGACGCCAGCAGCCTGTCGACCTCGCACTGCGACGGCGTGCCCAGGAGGTCGAAGATCAGGCTCAGCTGGTCGCGGCCCGTGCGGGCGCCGGTGCGCTGGGAGGCGTGGCCCGGCGAGAGCGGGTAGGAGCAGGTGCCGGGGAAGAGCGGGCCGCGCCGGGCGCAGGGGGGGCCCTCCGGCAGGGTCTGCAGCAGCTCCGCGAAGATGCAGGCGGCGCTCCAGATGTCGATCTTGGTGGTGTAGCTGCGCTCCAGGAGGATGACCTCGGGAGCCCGGTAGTGCCTCGTGACGACGTGGCTCGTGAGGACCTTCTGCGGCTTGCTCGAGCGCCGCTCCGGGCGGCTGGAGTCTATGGGCGAGGGCGGCCGCGGGGGCCCGCTCTCGGCGCCGTCGCAGCCCATGATGCAGGACAGGTTGAAGTCGGTGATCTTCACGGTGCAGTGCTGGTTCACCAGGCAGTTCGCAGGCTTGAGGTCGCGGTGGCAGACGCCCACGGAGTGCAGGTACGCCAGGCCGCGCATCAGGTTGTACATGAGCCACGCGATGTGCTCCGTGGTCAGTACCATGTCAAGGGCGACGAGCTTCTGCAGGTCCGTGTCGCACAGCTCCATGACGATGTAGAGCTCCGAGAAAGTGTCCACCTCGTCCCGCGGCACGAAGATATCGTGGACCTTCATGACGCAATCGTGGTTAAGGGCGGTGAGGATGGCGATCTCGCGGAGCGTCCGCTTACAGGAGGGCAGGTTGTCGAACAGGCGGCGGACCTGCTTCACCGCTATCGCCTCCTCGCGCTCGCGGTCGTATGCCTCGCAAACCTTAGGAGGCAACTACTGGGAGGTCTTCGCCAGAAGGATTGACGAATAAGCCCGGCGAAAAACCCAAACATACGCTGTCGTGAATTCCGCCATTGTGAAAACTGCCCTCGGTGGAGCTCCCTACGGGGCCGCGGAACGTGCGAAGGGAGCGCCGAAACGGGGCGGGGCCGCCATGCGGGCGCTGCCGCTGGGGCCGCCCGCAAAAGGCGTGGAGTCAGACGACACGGGTTACATGCTGATATAACCCATTGCGACTGGCATGCACCGGGGGAAGCTGGAAAAGACATGCGGGCGCAGCCACTGTGGCCTTGGGTGGAGTTCCCCATGGGGCCACGAAGCGTGCGAGGGATGCGCCGAATTGGTGAAGGTGGCGGCATGCGAACGCAATCACTAAGTGAAACTCTTTAAGGGGCCTTGAAGCGTGTGAGAGGTATGACAAAAAAACGTGGCGGCATGCGAACGCAGCCACTGGTGCCTCCGGTGGAGCGCCCGATGGGGCCGCGAAGCGTGTGAAGGGTGCCGAAAATGAGCGGGGTGACGACATGCGAAGGTAGCCACTGGGGCTTCAGGTAAAGCTCCCTATGGGGCCACGAAGCGTGTGCCGCAGTGAGAAGGTGGCTGCAAACGAACGCAGCCACTGGTGCCTTCGGAGGAGCTCCCGGAGGGGCCACGAAACGTGTGAGGGGTGTGCCAAAGTGACGGGGGTGGCGGCATGCGAACGCAGCCACAGGGCACTTCGGTGGAGCTCCCGATGGCGCCGCGAAGCGTGTGAGGGTGTCCCAAAACTGAGCGGGGTGGCGACATGCGAACGTAGCCACTGGGACCCACGGTGCGGTTCCCTACGGGGCCACGACACGCATGAGGGCATGTCAACGTATAAGAGCGCAACCGCTTGGGGCTTCGGTGGGGTTCTCTGTGGGGCCGCGGAACGTGTGATGGGTGTGCCGCAGTGAAGGGGGGCGAGGGGGGGGCGGCATGCGGACGTAGCCACTGGGGTTTTCGGTGGAGCTCCCCATGGGGCCACGAAGGTTGTGAGTGGCGTGCCGAAAATGTATGGGGCGACGACATACGAACGCAGCCACTGGCACCTTCGGTGGAGCTCCCTATGGGGCCACCAAGCGTGTGAGGGGTGTGCCAAAATGCGGCCTGCGAGCGCAGCCACTGGGGCCTTAGGTAAAGCCCTTGTTATGAGCCTCGAGACGTGTGAGGGGTGTGCCATAGGGAGGGGGGGCGTCATGCGAACGCAGCCGCAGGGGCCTTCTGTGGAGCTCCCTAAGGGACCACGAAAAGTGGGACGGGTGCGCCGAAGCAGCCACGTAAAAGAGATTGGAAGATGATGGCGATGCTGATGGCGATGGTGGTGATGACGACGGCGATGCTGAAGGTGATCGTGGTAATGTTCTACTGAAAATGATGGCGATGAATGGCGATGATGAGTGCGGATCCTGCTGATGATGATGCTGATGATGATCAGGATTTCCTTGGGCGATCGAGTGTGTGATAATGCGCCTCGGCTGGACCAGGATCCCTCGCTCCTATCCAAGACAACCGCAATTGGTGGGAATGCCAATTTTTAGCCGTACCGGCATCTTCCACCATCACGCAGACTACACAGAGCGAGCACAGTGACATCTACTGCCAAGCTGAAGCAGGATGCAACAACTATGCGTTGCCCACGTGGGACGATGCTTGCCTTTCCTGTCCTTGGGACGTGGCGCATGTTTGACATGCGGCGCGCCGCCGTGCGATCTACGCCCGCTAGAGTGTGGCCTCGGCGTCTTGGCCGAAGCGCTGACCACCCCGCGGGCGCTGGTGGGTGCCATCTTCCATCCGCGCGTCTCATCCCACGAACTGTATATTCTTGTCTCTGCGCACTTCTAGGCGTTTAGTCTTTGCGTCGCACACGACCTCGCTGAGCATGCGCGTGGTTCGCCACTCTGTCTGCAGCTCCTTGACACACTTCGAAAGATGAGAGGCGGCGGCAGCGATATCCGACATATGTGCGTTGTCCGTTGTGAATGTTGAACGCAGCCGGGCCTGAAAATCAACAGTGCCATCACGAGAATTATTGGCGCCAGCCGTTTCGTCAAACACGCTGGTCTGGTTCAGCACGGACGCAGCATAATCCGCCGAAGGTGATATCTTGTCGTCATAATTCACGTCGCAAATTTCAGCGTGGCCGTCCAACCAGAAGAAAGCACATCCAAACTAGTTGCCACTGGATGACAAAGCTCAGGCTGGTCCCCAGAAGGGTGAACACACTGAGGTTGTTCACCATGAGGGCGTTGCTGGTGAATACGAGCTTGGATGTCCTCGGGAACGGCGTCGAAGGAACCAGAGCAGAGAGCATGAGGCACCAGTGCTATGGCGCACCGTGCTGTACTTGTTGTCCAAGGCTATAAACTTGTTGGTGAAGGTATCCGAAAACAGTCCAAAACGCCGCAGGCGACGAGCAGCCTGCGCGAGACCTCCATAGTGAGAGTCCAAGGCTTCCGAGAAACGCCGAAGTAAATTGCCATGTGCCTCGTAGACGAGCAAGTGCGGCGCAGTCATGGGCGAACGGGAGACGAGCTATTCAAATGTTGCGAAACGCAAGTGGTCTTACAACCTTGCCAAAGCCTGGTGCCAGAATTAGCTACGGGTTTGTTGATGCTGATGATGGTGATGATGTTGTTGGTGGTGATGCTTATGCTGGTGTTGAAAATGATGATGTATATGATGGTGATGATGCTGATGGTGACAATGAGGTTGAAAAAGGGAATGATGATGCTGGTGATGATGACGATGGTGATGATGACGGTGATGAGGACATACAGGGGGGCAGAGGCAAGGTTGGGAGGAGGGAGGGGGGGACGAGAAAGAGAGGAGAGAAGGAGAGTAACGACGTGCCCTCTCTTTTCAAAACGAGGGCCCAACCCAAGACAAAATGGTTGGGAGAAACTGATTAGTTGAGGGGCCATTGAGCCGAATAAGGCCAGATTGAGCCTGGGATAAAGCCAAATTGCGTAAGCGGGTTTTAGCAAAATTCGCAAATTAATTGAGCCGGATCAAGTGCGACTAGAACCAGATTAGGCCAAATTTCGACCCGGGATATACAAGCGCCGATTCTGAATCTAACCTCCCACGACTTGCATCCGAACAGACCGTGCCGTAGGCGCCCTGGCCGATGACCGCCTCGATCTGGTACCGCACGGGTATGCCCTGCCAGCTGCCGCTGCGGTGCGGCGGCGCCAGCTGTGCCGCCGCTGCCGGAGAGGGAGGGGCCGGCATCGCCGCGCAGTCGGCGAGGGGCGGAGGGCGATCTCGAGGAAGGGCAAGCGCGCCGGAGGCCTGAGATGAGCCGATGCAGCGCCCGGGCGGCACACACGAAGGTGCAATCGAGGAGGAGGAGGAGGAGGAGGAGGAGGAGGAGGAGGAGGGACAGGAGGAGGAGGAGGAGAAGGAGGAGGAGGAGGGAGGAGGAGGAGGAAGAGGAGGAGGGAGGAGGAGAGAAGGAGGAGGGAGGAGGAGGAGGAAGAGGAGGAGGGAGGAGGAGGAGGGAGAAGGAGGAGGAGGAGGGAGAGGAGGAGGAGGAGGAGGAGAAGGAGGAGGAGGAAGAGGAGGAGGGCGTGCTCGAGCGCTCGAGATGATATCGAAGGCGCCGTCCCTGCGCGAAGCACACACAAACACACCGGGTCTCCCGGCGGCTCGGGAGAGCGGCTCGGGCCAGCCGGCACCCACGGGCGAACTCCTGCGAGCAGCGGGGGAGGAGGGACGAGGGCGAGGGGGAGGGGGAACCAGGAACCAGGAGACGGGGGGACGAGGGACGAGGGGGGGGGACGAGGGGGAGGGGGAAGGGACGAGGGGGGATGGACGAGGGGGAGGGGCGAGGGGGAGCAGGGACGAGGGGGAGGGCCGAGGGACGAGCATGGGTTGGGCATGTTCGCCCTCCTGCCTTCCTTCTCCTCCCCGCCCCGCCGCTCCCAGGCGCCCCCCCCTCCCCAGAGGCCCGAGCCTCTAGGAGGTGCGAGACCACCCACCAAATCAGATTCTTGGATGTGTTGCCAGTTGTCGGTCGTGGTCGGTAGCGACCGATCGGCCCGCGGAAGCCGTCCGTTGCGACCGATCGCTCGGTCGCTGGGCGGTCGCGACCCCCACGACCGCCTCGCGACCGCCTGATGCCGACCAGGATGGAGAAGAAGGGAAGGGGGAGAGGGCTGGGATGGGAGGGGGGGAGGGGAAGGGAACGGTGCATCTGACAAGTGTTCAGAAATTTGACGTGGGGAGCATGAAAGGAACGAGGTGGGGGAGGCAGAAGGAGGAGGAGGAGGAGGAGGAGGAGGAGGAGGAGGAGGAGGAGGAGGAGGAGGAGGAAGGGGAGGAGGAGAAGGAGGAGGAGGAGGATGGCCGCGAGTCGGAGGGGGTGCGTCGCGCCGCGCCGGCTCCCGCCCGCGCCACCGCCCCGAGGGGCAGGCGACAAGGGACGCCGAAGACGCGGGACGCACGCACAGACACTACGCATAATGTCCGCGCGTGTAGCCCAGCCGCTCAGGCCCGAGGGCCAGGCGAACGCCACCCCTCCCTGCCCGCCATTGGCAACCGATCCCGACCGACCGATAGCGACCAGTCGCGACCGACCGAATGGTCGCGATCAGTTTTGCTTCGACGGATCCCGGGATTCACGTCGTTCATTTCTGATCGTGCTCATTTCTGATTGTGCTTGTTTCTGATTGTTCCAGGCCCCCTAGTGGCCAGGAGGAGGCCCAGGATAGAACAATTAGAAATGAAAGGATCTAGGCCCCCAAAAAATCAAAGAACCTTCGAAGAGTTAGAAATGAACAATGTGACAATGTGTAGCCGCATCGGTAGCTACCGGTAGCATCGGTGGCGACCAGAAAGTTTGGGAATCCAGCAATCTGGGCAAAGGCCTCCGGAGCTCCCCACAAGGCCTGCTCGAGGCCGTTGGAGGCCACCTATAAGGCTCGAGAGAGGGCAAAACGCCAAGAAACTTGGATCCTCGATTCGCCCTTTTCGCCCTCCCCTTGTCCCTATCTATCACCACCACCATCCCTGACCAAGGCCCTGGGTTGGCACACATGCCATCCTGGCCTCGACGAGGCGTGCACGCTATCATGGAACCCAGCCCAGAATCAGGATGGCCCTGCAAAGGGATGGCGGTGGCGTATAGATGCCTTCTGTGAACCCTTCTTCTTTCGAAAATCGGTCCTCGAGCCTCATCTGACCAGAGTTTCGAAGGACATCCTGCCAAGGCGACGAAAATCCTCCTGGATGCCCGAAATAATTGAAACATTCCCCCCAAACTTTTAATTTTCACGATAGCGGCTGTCACCGGCCCTGGCCGATTCCCCCCCTCCCCAGGGGGGGGATTCGGCCAGGGCTCCCTTCAGGTAAAAATGCGATTCGTGCTGACCTCCGAATCGTCTTTGGTTATTCCTGGACATTCCTGGACGGCGCCGGCGCGAAACGTGCAGACGTTACCGACCCCGCCACCCCACCTCCGCCTCCCTGGCAACGCCTGCAATCGCCCAGGGATTTCAAGCACGCTCTCTCTGGTGCTCCTCCGTTGTGCTCCTCCTCCTCCTCCTCCTCCTCCTCCTCCCTCCTCCTCTCCTCCTCCTCCTCCTCCTCCCTCCTCCTCCCTCTTCCTCCTCCTCCTCCTCCTCCTCCTCCTCCTCCTCCTCCTCCTCCTCCTCCTCATGCCTGCCTGCCGCGGCGCTGCACAGAGCCCCCGTGTCCGCAACGCCCCGCCGCCCCCGCTCGGCCGCCCGAGCATGCGATGCTGACCATCGCGGCGCGCGCCGACGCTGATAAGATTCCCGGGGGGGGGAGGGGGGAAGTCAGGGGGGACGAACGGCTTCGAGGTTCGAGGTTGTCAGGCGTTTTCGTTGATCCTCAGCGGTCTCCCAGCCTCGGGATGCCTTCCAGCAACTGCGCCTCGCCGAGAGCGTTCTGGAGGTTTCCGGATCTTCCCGAACGACCGCCGGAGGCACGAGCTATGACTCGAAAGCCACCCCGGGCCCGGCTCAGGGGGCAGACCTCGAGCCGCAAAAGGCGAGACCTTGCCGATGCATCCGCAATGGGCCCCCGATAGCGAAGTCGCACGCTCCTGGGCGGGCTTGGCTATGAGGCCCCTAGCGGTGCTGACTCGGCGCTTGGGGGTCGATGCGCTCGCCCCTGAGCCGCTCCCCCGCAAGTCGCTCATGAGGGGCTGGAAGGGAGGGAGGGAGGCGTGCCATCATCTGGCGAAGGAGGATGTGGAGGAGGGGGGTGGAGAGGCGCAGCAACACGGCCGCTCATCATGTCTTGCCCCGAAATTGCTACCCCAAACGTAGCCGGTACCCCCCCCCCTCGCGTCCTCCTACTCCTCCTCCTCCTCTTCCTCCTACTCCTCCTCCTCCTCCTCCTCCTCCTCCACTTCCTCCTCCTCCACCTCCTCCTCCGCCTCCTCGCCCTCCTTCTCATCTTCCCACCCCTCCCCCCTCTTTGGCCCACCCGGGCGCAGTCGGAGCTCCCCCTCCCTCCAGCGCCTGGTCTGCTCGTGCCGCTCCTCGGCGAGCTCCAGCGCGGCCCGCAGCCTCCCGGCCTCGCTGCGCGAGGCTTCCAGCTCCCGCAGCTCCTGCGCCACCGCCGCGGGGCGGGCTCCGCGCCGCCCGCGCGAAGCAGCGTCGCCAGGACGAGGGGCCAAAGAGGGGGAGGGCAGGGCGGTGGCGGGGACGCGGCGGGAGGAGGAGGAGGAGGAGGAGGAGGAGGAGGAGGAGGAGGAGGAGGAGGAGGAGGAGGAGGAGGAGGACGAGGAGGGGGAAGGAGAAGGAGGAGGAGGAGAAGGAAGAGGAGGAGGAGGAGGAGGCCGGGGAGGAGCGGGAGGGCGAGGGTGAGCAGAAGGGAGTGGAGGACGAGGGCGGGAGGAGAGAGGGGGGTGCGACAAGCTAGGTGCGCTCGCGTCGTATCTGACGTCCTACCACTCCCTCCCATCCCTTACCATGGCGTAGACCTCCCCTCTATTTGCACATTCGGATGTCGCAGCATGGCATAGCATTACGTGGCAGAGCATGGTGGCGAAGATCAACGCGCAGCATGACATAGCATGGCGTGACGACGCTCCAAGGTGGGGTGGGGACCTCTGCAGCCCCAAAAATCAACTGGGAGGGGCATTTTCTAGATTGTGGGGCCGATTTTGAAGGACCGAAAAGCATGCCGTGGCATGGCGCTGGAAATAATAACGCCAACTCTGCAGCGGGAGCACGATTCGGAACGAGCGGAAGCGCGGAAATGAGGCCAGCGCTGCAGCGGGAGCACGATTCGGAACGACCGGTAGCCCGAAAATGAGGCCGGCGCTTCAGCGAGAGCAACATTTTGACAAACAACAAAACGGAAGCGCGGAAATAAAGATGCGTAGCCTGACATAGCATGGCGTGGGGACGCCTCAAAGGGGGGCTTCTGCGGCCCAAAAAACAACGAATCGACACCGAATGTGCAATCACTTCGGACGTTTTTTTTCGGGGGGTGGGCATTTTCTAGATTGTGGGGCCGATTTGGAAGGACCGAAAAGCATGCCGTGGCATGGCGCTGAAAATAATGACTCCAACGCTGCAGCCGGAGCACGATTCGGAACGAGCGGAAGCGCGGAAATGAGGCCAGCGCTGCAGCGGGTGCACGATTCGGAACGAGCGGTAGCCCGAAAATGAGCTTCAGCGAGAGCAGCATTTTGAACAAACAACTCAGCGCGGAAGCGCGGAAATGAGGACGTGCAGCCTGACATAGGATGGCGTGACAACGCCCCATAGGGGGGGGCTCCGCGGCCCCAAACATCAGCGAATCGACGAACCGCCCAGATGTTTGATCCCTAATGTGAAGACGGGGAACTCAGTGAGGCCACGTCTTCACCGTGTTATCAGGGTTAGAGGCTCTTTTGTTCTCAATGAACAGCAGATGCCAAGCTTTGGCTGGAGTAGCGTCCGCTCCCCTGGGCCCTAGATCTGAGTATCGTTCAAACGATCCCCATCCCCAGCGGCGTGGCCTGGGCCCCACCGGCCGATTTACCCCCCTAGACGGGTATATAGGCCGTTGCCTTTCGGGCTTCGAGGGGTGTAACCCCAACTGGGGTGGTACTTTGGTGGGGGTCTCGGAGGGGATGGGGATGAGGATGGGGATCGGATAAACGATACCGAAGATCGTCGCCTGCACGAGGCGGGGGCACGGTGCAAACGGCTGCAGGCCTGGAGAAGGACACTGCGGAGAGGAGGTACCGCACCGCAGGGACCCCTCCGAGCAGCTGGTTCCGCGAGGATCGCTGCCACCACGCTGCAGCTGCCCAACAGAAGCCAGGCCGCGCAAGCAACCACAAGGGCCGCACATGGGGAAGGAGAAGGGGGAGGAAGCATGGAAGGTCCCCAGGGGGAAGGGAGGAGGCTGGCGAGGAGGCAGGAGGGGGAGGAGGATGAGAAGAGTCCGGGGGAAGGGGAGAACAGGAGGAGAAACATGAGGAGGAAAGGACAGAGAGAGAGAGAGAGAGGTAGAGAGAGAGAGAGAGAGAGAAAGAGCGACAGAGAGAGAGAGAGGAGCAACAACAAAAAACATAACAAGAAGCGTGCGACCAGGTCGGCCTCGCACTCTGCTCGCTGCACGCCGCCGAAGCCCCGCAATTCCGCCCGACTGCCGCGCGGCTCGGCCAAGACACGCCGCCCCCCCCTGTGTCCACACGCTGGGGGGCGGCGGCGACCGCGGCCCTCCTCCTGCACCCATTGCCTGCTCCTCCTCCCACAACAATAACAACAGCAACAAACATGTTAAGTTCAAGACTGTTCGCTCGTACCTGCTCGCGTGCCATTCAACACTTCGACCCCAAGCCCTCGATGCCCGTCCTCTTCGTCTTCGATCGCGCCCCCCTTGGGGGTAATTCTTCCTCTGGAATCCTACTGCCTGCCTCGCATTGCTGGCGCAGCCCATGGAAGAAGGGAGGGGAGGAGGTGGGCAGGGACAACGGGGAGGACAAACAGTGGATTAGCATGAGGGGCTTAGCAGGAGGATCAGCAGTGGATTAGCATGAATGGAGGGAGCAGGGATCAGCACGAGGGGCTTGCGAGCGGGAGAATAGGCGGCAGAAACAGACGGGCGGGTCGGCCAGGCGGACTCTCGTTGGCGGGTCGGGCGGCGGGCCCGGACGGTCGGGTCGAGCGGGCGGGTCGCTGAGGCGTTCGGCCTGCATGACTCGCGAGGAAATCTCGAGCGACAGCTCGGTTCCCAAGTGAATCGCGAGGAAGTCCAAAGCGGCAGCGAGATTCCTGAGTTTTGAGGGCGCGGCGTCTGAACTAATTGAAAGTCCCACGCCAGATCGCTATTCCTGCGTAAATTATGAGGAGGTCCCGCGCGAGCGTGCGAGTTATCATGAACTGTGAAGAAGTATCAGGCCGGAGCCGTTGTTGACGTTTGGGGGCCAGGGGCCCCATCTGAAGGCCAATTTTTTCCGTTGTATAAAATAATGTCCGAATCCGGGAAGGGGCATTTCAATTGAGACAACATGATGGGGACCAGAGGAAAAGGGGATCAACAACAATTATTATGCAAGAACACGCGGACCCCCTCCAGGCCCCTTCCGCACCTCGTAGGGCGCCCTCTGGGCGACCTTCAGGAGGACCGGATCGGATCGGACCCGACTGCTGGCCGCTCGGATGAAGCAGGCAAACTTATGAACTAGGAGATCGGTCGGAATAGATGGTTCAAGCTTCGGCCTGACCGAGAAGCAGGCGGTTGAAGTGGAAAGCCATCGACCCTGCAAGTTCCAGGGCGGAGGAACTGGAAGCTTAGAGCCCCATCTTACAGTACATTTGTTTCGCGACCGGTCGGTGGATATTCTGAAACCTGCGAAAAGGCAAAGCGTTCTGGGGGACAAAACGGTCATGGAGTCAAGTGCTTCCCCCAAGACTGGCTATTCAGCCTGACTGGGGTTTGGACGGTCCCTCGGCCCAGGAATACGGCCCCCACGCCTCACGACCATCTTTCCCCCGGAACTTCTCGTCGCCGTGGCAATGAAGAGGGACAGCCCGCGACAAGTATCAACACGAGTGGAGTTGACGCCTGCGCACGGCAGTGCGAAAGAAGGGTGCAGACGGCTCCCGCCTGGGGACCCGCCCCGCTTCCCTTGGGTCGGGCATGTCCTCCTGCAGGCGGATTTGGAGGATAAAATTATGCTAACGGAGTTCCCCACATAAAGATATTAACGGTCTCGTGGGACCCATGGGGTACGACAACATCAACACGAAGGAGAAGCTGGAGAGGTGGGGCCTCCCTGGGGAGGTGGGAAGGGCACGAAACCATGTAAATAGTATTGGTTTCCGATACCCTCCTCGCTCAGGCGGGTCCTCCCTGGATGGGGTGGGAAGGGCACGAAACCTGATAAATAACAGGTGATGCGAATACCCTCCTCGCTCAGGCGGGGCCTCCCTGGAGGGGTGGGAGGGGCACGAAACCTGATAAATAACAGGTGATGCGAATACCCTCCTCGCTCAGGCGGGGCCTCCCTGGAGGGGTGGGAGGGGCACGAAACCAATAAACAGGCCGGCTGGAGGGGTGGGAGGGGCACGAAACCTGAGAAATAACAGGTGATGCGAATACCCTCCTCGCTCAGGCGGGGCCTCCCTGGAGGGGTGGGAGGGGCACGAAACCTGAGAAATAACAGGTGATGCGAATACCCTCCTCGCTCAGGCGGGGCCTCCCTGGAGGGGTGGGAGGGGCACGAAACCTGATAAATACAGGGTTGCGAATACCCTCCTCGCTCAGGCGGGGCCTCCCTGGAGGGGTGGGAGGGGCACGAAACCTGAGAAATAACAGGTGATGCGAATACCCTCCTCGCTCAGGCGGGGCCTCCCTGGAGGGGTGGGAGGGGCACGAAACCTGATAAATAACAGGGATTCGAATACCCTCCTCGCTCAGGCGGGGCCTCCCTGGAGGGGTGGGAGGGGCACGAAACCTGAGAAATAACGCGAATACCCTCCTCGCTCAGGCGGGGCCTCCCTGGAGGGGTGGGAGGGGCACGAAACCTGAGAAATAACAGGTGATGCGAATACCCTCCTCGCTCAGGCGGGGCCTCCCTGGAGGGGTGGGAGGGGCACGAAACCTGAGAAATAACAGGTGATGCGAATACCCTCCTCGCTCAGGCGGGGCCTCCCTGGAGGGGTGGGAGGGGCACGAAACCTGAGAAATAACAGGTGATGCGAATACCCTCCTCGCTCAGGCGGGGCCTCCCTGGAGGGGTGGGAGGGGCACGAAACCTGATAAATAACAGGTGATGCGAATACCCTCCTCGCTCAGGCGGGGCCTCCCTGGAGGGTTTTGGAATAGCGTTGGTATTGGCTTGGTATGGTATGGCTTGGTATGATTTGGTATGGTATTGGTATGGTATTGGTTGCTGTTCTGTTCTGTTCGTGGTTTGGTATGGTATTGATATGGTATGGCTTGGTATGGCTTGGTATGGTATTGGTATGGTAAGGTATTGGTATGGTATGGCTTGGTATGGTATGCTGTTCTGTTCTGTTCGTGGTTTGGTATGGTATTGATATGGTATGGCTTGGTATGGCTTGGTATGGTATTGGTATGGTAAGGTATTGGTATGGTATGGCTTGGTATGGTATGGTTTAGGAGAAGGACGCGGGAGGAGGAGGAGAAGGAGAGGGTGTTCTGGGAAAACAAGAACCCCACTCAGGATGTGGGGAAAAAACGAGCAATACTCAAAAACAGGTTCAAGCATATCCAAAAAAAATGGCAGAACAAATCGTTTACAACTAATTATGTTTGAATGTTCTCCTGTGGAAGGACGTGCCCAACTTTGCGCTTCCCTCAGGCCTCCCTTCCTTCCGTGGCGATGAGCCCGGGCAGCCGGAGACCACCCCGAGTGGAGCGCCCGTGCGCGGCAGAGGGCGGACGGATGGCGCGTCTTCCAAGGAAGCCCGCGGTGCCCTCTGCAGGCAGACGACCCCGCGGGCCTCCAGAAGGTTCGTGGTCAGCAGAATCGCCGCCGCTCGCTCGCGACGGAGCCAGGCGCCCGGGCGACGAGGGGACCCCGAAGGAGCCCGACAGGCATCGGTTCCAGCCTGGACTACCCCAAGGGCAGTCCTGGCGGGCGCGGCACGGGGGGGGAGGGCCAGTGGCCGGAGGGAAGCATACATCGGCGCTCCGAAAGTTTATTCCGATTTGAGAGGCACGGCGCCGCGCGAATGCAGCGCAAACGCTACGCTGGAAGGGCGCGGCAATGCATGCCCCCTGGACAAGCGAGAGCAGCCGCGCCCCCGTGCGAAACCCGATCCCGCGTGGGGCGCGCTCCTGTTAACAATGGCTCACCCGGGAAACTGTTCCTTGCGCAGGAAGTCCTGAACGGTCTGCCCATCGGCGGCTCCTTCGGACGAGGCCCGGAACCACCGAGACACCGTTTTTGATAGGAAGTTCTGAGCGGCTTGCCCATGTTCGGTTTCTTCGGAGTGGGTCCGAGGACCTCGAGAACCATGTTTTTGCAAGGAGTCCTAAGGCGGTTTGCACATTTTCGGGTCGTTCGAACCGGGCCCGATTTTTCTTGGCACAAGGCCTACGGGATTTGGCCACTTCCAGGTCGGCTGGTGAATTTTCCGGGTCGTCGCATGACCGAACCCGAAAGTTTTTGTCCGAGGAAATCCGATGCCGCTTGCTCATTTACGGGTCAGTACACTGTTTGAGATTTCAAAAGTTTAAAATGGGAAGGGGAACCCGATCCCGCGACCTCGGGCGGGGGTTAGGCTCTGCCTTTGCATTGTACTGGGCCCCTCCAGCCAAACGGGGTGCTGGGCTGCCCATCGGC